TATTTGCAATTATTGCTTTTTCATTATTACATAAAGAAATGAATTTAATTTCATTTCCTCCCCATCCACGCATCCCTTGGATGATGCAGCTAATTTTCAAACTGAATGGCCCTTCTGATAATGCATTTGTCAAATGTCAAGATTATGAAACAAAGGCTAAAAGCCATGGACAGTGGGCAATAGTCTGAATTTCTAAGGCTCAAACCACAGTTTGGTGTATTGAGAAGAAGAGATGCAAACAGGCAAAAAGCAGTTTTACTGCATGGTAAACGGTGGTAAACCACCACAGAATGAACCTGAAGATGTAAGTCTCTTGTTGGAAATGTATGAAATGTCCATTATTACTCAGTGAATAGCTCCAAAAAATACCACCAACACACCACTCAACTTCCACTACTGGTTTTAAATAGCTGGTTTTCTCCTTTATTAAGGATGCTACCTTTTAAAACAAAGCTTAGCAGAACTGGTCCAGGGTACCTTCAACTCTCTCCCCTATTACTGCAATTATTATCAGCTATATGGATACACCATCCACTTAGCTTTTTCAAGGAGGACCTTGATGAGAAGTAAAGCTGTGTTGTTAACCATGTGTTCTGTTCAGTCCGTATTTCTCTTTATATTGGAGTTTATATTGAGCTGAGAGCTACAACTTTTATGTCATATTTTTCAAAGTTTACCACCTCTCTGGCTCACAGAGACAATAACTTGCCCAGTATCACAGTTTCAGAGGCAAGCATTTCCTCACTGTGCTGCACCCAGGCTGAGTTTGTGACTGGAGAGGGTACCAGTACCTCCAGGCTATCACTTCTTTAGGCTACACAAGGGAATTTAGAAAAGAAGAGGAAAAATTCTGAGGACCAAAATTTAACTTGTCTGTGGGATGAGCAGAGGTGGGGAGAACTCTTGAGAGATGGAGCACACGACTTTCTGACTTCAGGTAGAAAGTAGAGGTGAGAAGCCTTTGGTTCCTTCCAGCCTTGTTCTGCAACTATAGGCTAAGGAAACCCATAAGGTAATTCAGGATCAAACATGTCCCCAAACTTTAGCTTGACTGCCTGGAAATCTCAGCAGTGTAGTACATCTCTGCATTGCAATGTCTTCCTGGTTGCCTTCATAAGCTGCATCATATAGGAAAGTCCTATAGGAAGGCAACTTTAAGGTGTTCTAGTCAGATGTCCATTTGCCTCAGGGGAGGGAAGTGATGCTGCAGCTCCTTGGCGTCACCTTTGGTCCTCTGCCCTGCTGTAAGCTCAGTATGACAAAAATCACATCCAGTATCTTATTAGTTTTGGGGGAAGGTTCCTTTTTTTTTTTTTTTTTTTTTTTTCCCCCCCCAGTAGTATGTTTATAATACAAAGGCAAAATAATTCACATATTTAAGAAGTACATAAGCCTAATTCTTCCTTTTGCACAAGGCCAATAATGTGGTATTGGCAGCATAAATTATGTTGTCTGTCATTTTAAGGCTTGTTCCATTGCCAGAGTTATCAAAAAGGTTGTCAATGTACATGACATGGTCAACCTGATAAAAAACCAGACAACAAGCACTCATCTACTCACTCATACACCCCTCGCAAAGTCAGTGGTTTCTCTCACAAGCATGTATTTGCATTTTAACAAATTGCTTATTTCTCTTGTTGTTTCTTTACAAAAAGCACAGACTGTCTTGATCCTAAAAGTTATAACCCACTGAAACTCAAAAGTGCTTTATTAAGTCTCCCCTCTTACAGATGATTCCGAAAGAAAATACCGTGTAGTGGAGCCATCTACCGGAATGTGAATTGAAATACAGACACACAGGAGAAGCACAAATGTGAGGGGAAGCTCTAACAGAACCAGGCACGTGGCAATGACAGCAGCAGCAATATAAAAGTCATCATATATCAGAAAAAGAATTCTGTGTTGGATGGAACAATACGAACACGAATTCCTACATCAAGTTATGAATTTGTTGTTTCCAGGTTAGATGGTCACTACTTGTTCATGTAGAGCAGTAATTAAAAAGAATATAAAATGGTTTAAATTGACAAGAGAGATGCTAGCAGGAAAATCTTACTCCCTAAGAAGCATTTCATCTCAAGATCTGCATTCAGGTCTTATCAGTATCAAAAAGAGCCAGAACAAAACCAGAAAGGCCACAGAAGTACCAATATTCACAGAGGACCATCTGCTTGCAGATAGACTTAGCCTATTCAATTTGGAGGGGAGGAGCTACTGAGGCATAGAAATCATGAGTGGGACAGAAAAGGATGAATGTGTGACCCTTGGCACCTTCCCCACAGCATTTTAACAAACAGGTGTTCAGTGAAGTGAAATGAAATGGCAACGACATCAAAACAGAAAAAGTACTATACATTGCATTTATGCATATTTTACTAGTAAAACTCACCATGAACAGGATATTACTGAGGTGATAAACTTAGTAAGAAACTTGATTTTTTTTTTGTTTGATAATTGCTAGGCTCCCATGGGCTCCTCTATCATGACACTTTTCATATGTCCCAGTAAAATTTTGATATTGGTGTCTGAGGCTTCCTCAAGAATTTTCACTACAGGAAACAGATGCCAAGTACACTTTGTAACTAGCTGGGGGCTTGAACAGAACTAATTGCATAATTAATAAAAACATTTCACACCAAAACCGAGTAGGAACAAACCCCATGTAAACTGCAGCCTGATGCTAAAAGAGTATTACATTCTCAGAAAGTCTTACCACCTTTAAAAGTGCAGCTACATTTGCAGCTTTGTTTTTCAAACTGAGATGTTCCTACTCTTGAAGAGACATCAATCTAATTGCTTCTGCTTTCCTGAACATGGACTTCATGAACAATTCAAGTCATCCTCTATCTGTGCCTCTAGGCTTGCCAAACCATTTCATGGCTTACTGGCAAACCCCTCATTTCCTTGCAATCTGTATGTAAATTTCCTTTTTTTTTTTCTTGAAAACATGGGGGTAATAGCAGGGAAAAGGGGTTGAAATGTACCATGAGTACATTCAGAATATATCACTGTCACAGAAGCCTGTTTACTTTGAGAAGACCAAGTGACATTCATAAATTCAACAGACAGGAACTATTTGCAGACAAGTACTTGATAATACTTGTATGTGCAGTACATGATCTTTCTAGAAGTTCACTCAATTTATTCATCCACCCATATAATGAGCTGTTTTCTAGTGAAGAATTGCTGCATGATCCCAAAGAAAATATCTACACCAATTTTTTCACAACTATTTGACCTATTGGAGGGAATCAGCAACATACTGTACCTACACCAAGAATTTTAGGAATCCTGTTTTATTAAAAGTGTTACAAGCTGCAATTATTTAAATTACATTCTGTTAATAACTTTTTTGTGTTATGGACAATTTCTGAGTAAACAGTTTCCAACGCCAAGAAATGGCTTACAATTTAATTTTGGTGAAACTCAAGTCAGTCAAGAACATGCCCTGGCATAAAACTGCTGTGTTTGACCAAGAGATGGAAAGTAGCAGAGGAGACCTGTTAATTAATCCATTCATCTATAACAATAGTGTTTCAGAATGACTGCATGATGCCATGGAAGAAACGGATGAAACCCCAGCAGTAATGCAGACTGTGGACTCACATTCACTCTGTAAGTTATACAGACACTGTAAAATGCAGTGGTAAAAACATTTTCATAGCAGAGCAACGAATGTGTATAATCTGCTTTAATACATTGACTGAAAATCCCACATTGGCAGAGGGCCAAATCCCATCAGGCGGAGGGAAGCGTAAAAAGCATACTGATGCCATGGTTTTCCTCATTCCACAACAATATTCCGGAGCCTGTCAACAACCTTTGGAAGTCCTCAAATCCTAAGAAATCACATATCTAGTGGAAAATCTAGGGCCAGATCTTCAGGCGCAGCCCATCCGTGTGGTTCCATCAACTGTACCATTCTACAGCAGCTGAGAACTCACCCTGCAAACTCGCAGGATGGACACTTGCCAAATGCCATTAAACTAACCATTTGAGGTTACAGCAACATTCTAAGCAACTTAATGGCAAATACTTTTACAGCAATAAATGTAGCACGATGACTGCTGTTAAAGAGGTGATTGCTCAAGAAAGGAATTGCAAAAAAATCAGAGTGCTTTGTAGATAGTTATGTTCCCCAGTGTTTTCAGACACAGGTTCACATTGCATACAGATGTCAAGAGAGGCCATGCATGTGCATCTTGGACATAACTGGGCCACTATTGAACCAAAATGATGTATCTAGAAGTCCTCGTGGCTGAAGTTATGCAGACATACCTGACATAAGGTTTTAAAAAATGGCAAGCAAAGTAGGCCAATTTGGAGTAAATATGCGCTCTATATATGTTGCTCTATATGCACACAAAGTAGAATTAAATGCTATGTAACAAACAAAAGTATAGATAAATATTTATGGACAAATGATTGGCCGCTTATCTTTGATAGGTCAATCTGTAAATGACATTTTTTCAGCCATCTGACACATTGTGCACAGCAGCCTCAGCAATCAATCGCTTTCACTCTTTCATTTACATAAAACTTCATGCAACAGTGCACCTTGGAATGATCCATACCAGTTCCTTAATACTGTGGGGAGATCATAACACTGTAACACTTTTAATAATACAATAAGAAACAAATAAACAAAAAACTTCGGGGGAGAGACAGAAATTATTTAGCAACTATTGTTTCCCCCTTGCCTCAAAATATGAGTTTTACTCTTCGTAATAAATAGAAGGTTCACGCTCTCCAGATTGTCTGTAACAATTTTGTGATGTATAATACTTAACATAATTGGTCACTTCATGTCTGCACATACAGTATAATTTCTGAACAAGTCAATAATGGGTTATACTGTATTTTTTTTGCCTTGCCCAATATATATAGATATACCTTCAGCAAAAAATTCTTCTCAATATTTATACTATTAATTGGACCAAATGACAAAAAACAAAACCAAACAAACAAGAGGAGGAAGAAGAAGAAGAAGGGAGCTTCCTTTACACTTGTGTCTGATGCTGGGTCTCCAGAAATGGAATGTGAACATTTTCTAGGTTGAGTTCCTCCACGCTTTCATAGTCACTCATGGCTACTTCGGAGTCATCAAAGCCACAGCTGGCCGAGACATCTGAGGAGGAGGCATCTAGAGAATTGTGCAAGGATAAGGGCATCTTACCTGCACTAACGTTTTCTGTGTTCTGGCTTGGGCCAACAGCAAAAGTACTAAATTCATTCCCAGTCTGAGACCCCGTGGTGTCTGTCTCATTGGGGAACTGGTGGGGAGGGAGGTATTGGCTGGGGTGGAAGTGTGGCCGTCGCCTGCAGTCGGGACTGAGCGTACTTGCCATTGAGAGCGGCTGTGAGGGCGGGAGGGTTTCATATTGGTCTGGGTAATCCTCTGGAAGAGGAGGGGGTAACTGGTCCTGGGTTAAAAACTCCTCTTCGTGAGGGGGAGGGTAGTCACTATCAATGTCGTAGCCACCAAGGTAGTAATCTGTTTCCAGCTCTCTGGTACTGCCGTGATGAGCTGAGCCTCCATCCGCTGTCTCAAAGTTGGGCACTTCCTCAATGTCGGACAAGCGAGCACTTGGCATCCAGTCAGAGGTATCCCAATGATACGCTGCAACAGGAAAGAGAACCACAGCACTCTGTTAAGATGGGGCCACTAATGAGGACAAGGAGCCCTGCATGCACTTGCCTCTTAGTCCTCACAGCACGTTCAAATCACAGCATGCGGCCCAGGCCATGACACAGGTCAGCCATGCTCTGACCAGAGGGACGGGGGAGAATAAATCGTATTACAATGCAAACAAGCAAAGAAACAAAACATGGACACTCTCAGGCATTTTACTTTTTAGGATGTTACTAGACTGTATTAGAAACTATGAATCCAAGACACCAAAATTACAAAAAATCTCTGAATTGATGCTTTTCACAGCTACTTGACAAAATCTATAAATGAAGTCAGCATGCTTGTGGTATAACATCGAGTCTCCCCTTCCATGTCCAATGACTTTGTTTCAGGAAATAAAGTGTGCAAGCAAATAATCTGATTGACTGAAAAATAGATCCTGAAATATCCTGGCCATTCTCATGCAGCATTTGAACCCAACAGAACTCAAACAAGAGAAGACACATGAAGCAGTTCAAGAAAAACACAGAGCAAGTCAGAGCCCTGCCCACCCCAGCCCAGTCCAAGAGGCAGAAAGTGTCTCAGAAAAATCACCTCTGTTGTAGTTCTGTCCTTGATCCATAACAGACACTGTCAGGTATAAAGTGAAAAGTAAAAACTGGTAACTCAGAGTTTGCTACCAGCATAATATTACATGTGAAAATACAAATCTGCATGCATATTTCTAAAGTACCGCTGCCTCTGGCATTTTAATAGGATTTTTAATTGTTATCTATTTTAGCATACAAGACAAGCTTGCCCAGTCAAATGCAGGCATACATAAAGAAATTAATATGTGTATTATATTCCTTTTCTATCGTATCTTAATTATTTACCCTTGCTGAACAGATATGGAATTACATTAGACCTGGAATTCTTAATACAAAAAGGGCTATCCACCATCTCTACAGTTTATAATTGCAAAATACATTTCTCTCTCACTTGTTCACTTTGAAACAGAAAAATAAGAATCTACCATTCTCAGGGCCGGTTCAAACAAATCTGGGCCCACCTGGGCTCAGATACCATGGTGATGGGCACGGTATAAGAACCTGAATAGAATAGAATACAAAGCCATTTAATGGGGCTGTCAGCTACAATGCCCTGCAACCCCACACCCACCTCCCACCTGCACTGCCATGCTCGCCGGTGGGGAGGGAGGCATTCCAGTATGGAGAGGGTGCAGGGGTGGGGGAGAGAGCAAGGAAAGAGGTTTTATGTGAAACAAGAGCAGGGAACAAGCTGCAGCGTTTTCTAGATGAGATGCTCTTGTTCAGCTGCATGTTATTGAGCTTCATGCAAGAAGTCTCTGGGCAAGGTCTCTGGGCTGCACTGCTGGAGGAGGTTGGGCCAGATAAACAGACCCATTACAGTACTTAACCTCTGGAGCTCAGCTACAGTTGAGGACAGACTATTCTCCAGGCTTCTATCTGTCAACATCACTCTTGCTTAACACTACATGGCTTATGTGGTGATGGTGGTTTCTTCATCAGCTCTTTAGACAGACAGCAGCTTTCTATCTGCTCTGTGTTAGTCCAGGGTGAGGAGCAGTGTAGTTTAGCAGCTGTGCCTGAACCGGCCCTAACCACTCTTCTTCTTCACTTCTTTTTTTTTTTGTAAAACGGATTTTGCTGTCTTTTGGTCAGTGTCATGACATGGCACACAAGATGCATCAGGTCCCTCTGAGCTGTGTGGTTTCAGGATCCAGGAGAACCTCACTAATTTGCTGACTTGCACAGTCCCTAGCAGGTCCCAGGGGAAGAAGCCCTGTTCTCCCACAGCTCCAGGCAGCTCTTGTGCCTGCCAGGCCATGGGAGCCCTGGTGCAGACGATTCACAGATACCACCAGCTCTGTGGCAGAGGACATGAGGCTCATCAGTCTCATATAAGGAACTGGGAAGTGGGCAAAGCATTTTCATTTACAGCCTTTTGAAATTGCTGCCAGAGCAGCTTTTTCTGACCTGTAAAGCATGATGGGGAGCCCATGTGTTTGCTTAAGATTTCCTTTTGGAAGACAAAGCCATTTTCAGTGTCTATGCTTTCTTTTCAGCATTATTTTCTTATTTTTTTGATTGGGACTTTCTTTTCAATTTAACCTTGGCTAATTAATTTTATTTGATAGCCAGAAGAATGGCACTCTTACACTTCAGGAAACTGGTAAATATACTATAGACAAATACTGAAGTGCCATAACTAGCAAGGAGTAAAAGTGCTTCTCTAAACTATCATGACACTGGCTCAAGAAAAAGAATCAGTAATTTCACAAGAAGAATTTACTTTATAACATTTAAGCATTATCCAAATTGGATTACCTGAAATCTGCAAAACCTGGCTTAAATTTGCTAAAGACAGATGAAGTGTTGGACTTGTGGATAACCTTATTTGATGCGGAGTTGACATTTTTCCTGAGGATAAGATAAATGCTGTATATAAAGAAAATAAATGTTTGTTTTTGATACATCACATTTCCTCACTGCTCTATAGAAGAGGAAAATTGTGATAGTCCTGTTTTACAGGGATGGAAGCCAGTTCACTTGTAACGTGATGTGCCAAAGATTACCCAGGAGGTCAGTGGCAGAGCTGAGTACTGGATCCTTGGACTTAACTGCCATGCTCTGTTCAATGGACACATCAATCCCAGGGGAAAGGCAGTGGCAGGGCGGCAGCCTTGAGAGCTGGCATCCATAGTTGTGTCTACACATCTTTGATTTGACACTGTGTTACTTGGGAGCAGCCAGCCACCTGCCTCTCACCACATTGCTCCTCTCCACGTGGTTGTGCTGGAAGTGCACAGCCCAGCTTTACTGCAGCCTGGGATGCTTTACAGCTTTCCTGTATCTTCTTCTGTTTCCCAGCCAGATAATCTCAACCATTTGGCTCCATTATCATCCTAATGCTATTCTTTCTGAAGGCAATGGGAATAAGCAAGCAAAAACATTGACTTGAAGAAAGGAGGATGATGACCTTTTCTGCCACCTCTAATTATCCACAAATATTTTGTGGTACATGCCTCTGGTGTTTTTGCTTTGCTGGTGAACATGCTGATCTGCAAATGCCCATCCCTGCCACTGGTTTGCTGGTCAGTGTGGATTAGTGAGGTTCTGCTGGAATGTTACACAATGAAAACAGGAAGCATTGTCGCATAACAAGAAAGAAAAAAAATTAAATACCTTCATTTTCTATTGTGTCAACTACATTGTTGACAAGCTGTATGACAGTCACTATGGAAGCTTGCAGGGGAGGGAAAGCAGAAAATAAAGGGAGGGGAAGGACAGCGTTAGGTTAGTATTTAAAACACGCATCATATGATACCACAATAAATTCTCTCAAACAGACAGAACTGACATTGAAAAAGAAAAAAAAAAAAAGGCTGCCAACCCATGCATGATTTATGCAGTGGGTTGCAGGACATTTCATTTCAGATAATCCCATACATTTTCAGAGTGGTGATAAATTCCCAACCAGCATTTCCACAAAGGCATATGGGATGATGTGTATCACCTCATAAATTCAAGCAGACCGGCCAGCTGATTCAATTAACCAAAGCAGTATCTTGTCTACCTGACACTAATTTCTAATTCATTCTTGCTAAAGGGTCTCCAGAGAGGCCATGTGCTCCAAGGGATCATTATCTTTTAGACCATCACACCATCTAAAACAGTGCTAAGCTCTATCTATTTCCTAAAAGGAATGCTTTACTTATTTACTATTTGTGCTGTGCCATGTAATACCTCTGGGATGTTAAGCAGGACTGCTATAATTAGGACACATTCAAGTAGGTTTGGTTCAAATTTTGATCTGTTTGACAGAATGTTTTCACAAATGCTTTGTGTGTTCTTGGCAGGTGTTTTACCAAAACATAATTTCCCCTTGAAATAATTAATATAGACCATGCATTTGATGAACATGGAGCCAAACAGGCATACAATGTGTTGTCCTCTAAGTGATGTGCATTTTGGACCAACTAACACCCTTTCCTTGGAGGACATGCAATAGTATCCACCAAAACCACAGGGAAAGCTCTGATTCAGTGGATACTGGATCCATCTCTTGCCCTTTGTCTTTAAGACAAAGTCAGAGAAATCTGATTGCTTTGAAGCAAGCTAGGACCAACACCAGAAATGTTGAGCAAGACATACTTTTTTATTTCACACAGCCAACAGACTTAGAAGAAACATGTTTCACAAGAAACATGTTAACAGTACTAGTACCATTCAAAGATATGTTGAGTATTTACAAATCTTTGTTAAATTTTAGGCATGGGATCAAGGATCTCATCAAATTTCCTTAGCCCTTGTGAAGGCTTGGCAAAAAGAGCCTTGACAAACCAAAGAAACTATGCTCTCTGTCTATGTTGAGCATGTTTATGCCATCAACAGCATTGGTGATTGTACAAGGGAGACCTGCATCACCTAATGCATAATGAACATTATGGAAAAATCAGTGACTCCATGTAATTAGCTGCTGCATGGCTGGGAAAACAGGTGAAAGGCACCAGCAAACTGTAAGAGGAGACCAACTGGGAGTGAAAAACAAAAGGTCAAAAATCAGGACCAGTACAGTCTTCATTGCAACTAAGGGTTGGCTCTGCTGGGAGCTGAGCAGAGCATGTTCATGGAAGTGAGGGAAAGTTCGACCTCTGGCAGCTGAGGACAAGGGATTACCTAAATCCAGCATTGCTCATTGGGTAAAAACTGATGTCATCAACAGCAGTTTCTTGGACTTCCTTCCCAGCACAACCAGCCATTGGGCTGCAGTGAAATGGTAACAAAAAAATCCATTTTTGCCACATCCTCTCATTCAAGACAGGACCTCATTTCAGGTGAGGTCTCAAAATACTATTTCTAAGAGTGGGAAACTTTTTTTAAAAAGTTGTGGCTATTACATTTTTTTAAATTTTGATCACAAAAATAGCAATAACTACTCTCAGCAAGACCAGGGGAGCTGAGCAACTTAAATGCAGCACAGATAAGGGAAAAAAATAGAAGTGGGCTCAAAATCACACCCAAGAAGAGTCTGTATGGTGACACAACCCCTATTTGACCCAGCATGAGAAAGACCCAGGCACTGTGGAGAAGGTGAGTGGAGGCTGCCTGCATCTGGTACAAACTGAACAGTGTAGGGCTGCTCTATCAGAATTAAAATGACAGGAAGGGGAAGGATTTATGGCTTCAAGAGGGGCACCCATTAGGTTTGATGTACATTTATGCCAGCAAGTATATGCTTACTTATGCCTGAACGTATATTTTAGGGTCTTTCAATGCAACCCTCCCCTGCTGCTGCAAAAACCTGAACGTGCATTCTTGCATTGACCCCTGCAAAACACCTCAGATGATTTAAGTTTCTTCTTTCATTCTCCCAGATTTGTTTAAACTCTGAACTAGAACTGCTGTCTCTAAAAGCCATACTTTAAATGCAATTTTCATAAAAAATGGGTGAACACAGAAAGTCCAATCCAGCTTCAGTGGGTAGCGTGTCACTGATTTAAATGGGGGCAGGACCAGAGGCTTGGAAAGCCTAATTAGAATTTGGGAGATATAAAAAGTAAGCACATACAATAAACGGTCACTTGAATGATTACACTAAAGGCAATTATAACATAAATATATATTAATAGAATAATAATTCTAGTAATTATTCTAAAAATCCTGAAAGGTTTTTTTTCTGAGATCCAGGGGCAGCAAAGCACTGAGAAGCTTGAGTAAAAACCTCATGATGCTTCAGTCACAGCTGAACCAAAAGGAACTGCATGTGCACTTCTCTTTAAGTGCTTTTTTCAACATTTAGGAATACCTAGGGAAGAGCTGCATGACATGACTGAGGAACCGAGTCTCCAGACAGTTCATTAACTCATGGCTGAGGAAATGAAGTGCAATTTCTTTTTCTGTGTATCTGAATGAGGCTTCTCTGACATCCATCATCCCTCCCTGGCAGAAACATCTTGCCTTTTCTCAGACCCTCTGCTCAACATCCATGGGCTGCAGAACAAAGGTTTGCTCTGACTTTGTTGGCTTCTTTCAGGCTGTGTACGGAACTGCCCACATCACCCAATGAGATAATGATGCAGGACATGAGACCAGGCAATGAACATGCACCAAGCAAGGATTTAATAGTGCTCTGTTGTTTGCTGAGCTGTGAGTGCCAGGGAAAGGCCAAGTCACCACTGCCTGGCTCATCCGCTCATTGATGCTGCTGAGCACCAGTTGTTGGCACCATGAATGAGATCTGGCAAACTACTGAAACACAAAAGTCCTCCTTTTCCAAGAGGGAAAATGAGAGAAATTCTACAGTTACCCTTGCAACTTATATCTTGGCAACATGACTCAGCTCTATCATGCTTCTAATTCACTGTAGAACTCCAAGTAAGATTTTAATTACATTCCTATAATTTAAAAAATGGACACAAAGTGAGGTTTTGAACCCAGGACTTCCTGACTTTTGGCATTATAAAAGCGATTCTAGACATCCCCTAAATGTTTTCTAATAATATTAGAAAGACAGTTAAGTAGCTTTGTTCCCAGCATAACACATATAAAACGATTTCTTACCATTATCATCACCAGAATCAGACTGGAAGGAGCTGAGTGACTGTACTTCAGAGTTGCTGCCTTTATTACTTCCTGAAAAACAGGTCACTTCTTCAGCGTCATCAACCCCTTTACCTTTATTGACAGCAAAAACAAAGCAAAATGATACTCTCTAGGTATGCACATTTGTCTATTTGTACCAGTCATTTAAACTCTACCAACAAGTAGCCTTCTATTATTTTGTCAGAATACAACTATTACCTTCAGACAGAGAAAATTACCTGTTAGTCAAGGAGGGAACTGATGAAGATACCTAGACCTTTGGAGTCTTTGAAGCCCAAAGAGTCTTCCAAGTGGCTGACACCACTGTAATCAGGGACAAAACATCTGTATCCAGTGTTGCCTTTTTAGATGCCATGTAGTCTCAGCAGCAAGGCAAATTACTTTAAAAACATGGTATAAACATTTATACAAGAGATTACAGTTATATTAATCTTTTCTGTTAATTTCCTAATTTGAGAGCCTCATAAAGGCTCATTCAATGCTCAAGGAAGTTATTTGGCATCTTTTTATTTATATTGGTGGCACTTGGATCAGATTTTAATGACTCTATCACTGACACATAATATATTAAAATAAAAGAGGGTGAATTTAGATTAGACATCAGGAGGAAATTCTTCATCATGAGGGCCATAAGGTGCTGGAATAGGTTGCCCAGGGAGGTTTCTGATGTCCCTTCCCTGGAGGTTTTTCAGGCCAGGCTGGATGAGGCTTTGTGCAGCCTGGTGTAGTGTGAGGTGTCCCTGCTCATAGGAGGGAGGCTGGAAACTGATGATCTTTAAGGTCCCTTCCAAGCTTAGCCATTACATTATTCTATCATTATGCTTCAATATACATTGCTTTTCATGAGGCACATTCAGTCTTGACAACTCTTCTACAGTTAAAAAATGCAGCTGCAGCCTGTGACGTAAATGAATACACTTGAATAAACACACTCAACTGCACATTGTATGAGAGATAATAAGAAACACAAAAAGTTATACTCCATAGTAAATGCTATGAGCTAATCTCCAATGATCAAGGTCATGTGCTGCAAACACTAAATACAGGTCTCAACCTGCTAACTGTAGTTATTTCTACCAAGCACAGGGCATCTCCATATGGGAGCAGTTGATTTGCACCTGCCAAGAAGTAGGACATGTACTAGACTGAGGGAGTGCTGCAGTAATGAAGCTGCACTGCTTCCTCCTCCCTGACAGCTGAGGTCTGTCTCCATGATGTGGCCTCATGCTGTGCAGAAAGTCACACAGATACCAGCAGCATCTGTGGCAGAAACACCCAGGAGAATACAGAACAGAGCACATATCAGGGCTGGTGCTTCCAGTCAGCAAAACTGTATTTAATGGTTAAAAAGGTTAACCACAACACAACTGTGAAATACAGCCCAAAGATTTGAAAATTTATTCCTGTTCTTCATTAGAAGACCTTAGCCAGTGTGCTGCCTTAGATGGAAAAGTGCATGTCAGGGTACAGATATGAGGCAGTATCAGATTCCTCTCTCTATTCCTCAGTTCCTATTGCCTAAATATATGAAGTTTGTTGATCATGCAGTTTTATTTGACAGTTTTGGCTAAAGCTGTGTTGCAATGGGATTGAAGATGAATCAGAAAAAAACTACTAAAAGGAAAAACATCATAACCCCCACTCATATGCTGAAGCAAACATCTCCCAGACATGACATGACATGACATGACAGTCAGAACATGACATGTTCTGCCTTGCAAGGATAGACAACATAGAGCCACAGCTCTGTCCCAGCAAACTGGTATTTCCTGCTATGACACAATATGAGAAGTTTCTGGTATTTCCAGCAACTTCTTCAGGAATGGAGGGGGCACTGTGTTATCAGGTGAGAAACCATCAAAGAGAGTAATAATGGGGACAAGAAATTCCATGATCACTCTGATACTGAATGTGGATGGGAAGGCAATGGCCTGAAAAGGTGATTCTGTATGTAGTGCATGATTTTCTGCTTGATTTCATAGACACTGGAAGCAGAAAATATTAGTTCATTTGTCCCCATTACAAAACAGGATTGCTTCTTAACACAGTTTTTGATGTTAATTCCCTTGAGAGACAAACTGCACAAACCTAGCAGAGTTTATATTTGAAAATTCTGCCCCAAATTATTTTTTCTAATAGAAAGATGATGGCCTCATATCACTTGAAGAAGTAACACTCAGAGCACCTACTCAAATGTGCTTTCTTAACAAGAGAAATAAATGCATTCAGTCATACATAGAAGCAGAGGTCTCACATGCCTACCACTAATTATATTTTTTTGAAATTAAACCAAATCACTTTTTGGAGAAACTTAACACTGCTAAGTGTATAAGGCTGCAGGATAAAGTGTACTTATGCCACTGTACCTGCTGCACCCTGAGGGAAACCATTACCTATGGCAGGAAAGAGTTAAGAGCAGCAAGCAGTGATACTTACTTTCCAACCCAGCATCCCATGTGCTCTTCCTGATGGAGTCGCAGTCAGAGCGACAGGGAGACACAGCGGGCAGGTTTGGTGCGACGCTGCACACCACCACCCCCCGCCGGGCCGTCAGGATTCGAGGGGACTCAGGATGAAAGGTCGTCATCTCCTGGTGCTCCACACCAAGCCCATCCACTATCTTGTCCAGGTTATTCCTTGAGTCACTCTGGAAGCACGGGGTATAGGCCATTGGCCTCACTGGGACCTGCGGAGGCCCAACCTCTTGGTAAATATTTCTGCTGTCCCCGCTGCTCCTGACGTTCTTGAACTGGATGCCGTTGCTCTTGTTGAGCAGGGCGGCAGTAGCCGGGTCCTGTACCAGTGTGATGTTGTTGCGGGAATAGTTCTTCCTGAAAACTTTCTTGCGAAAAACAATAAAGAGGACGATCAACAGAAATATGACAAAGAGCACCACGGCGATTCCTATCAGCTCCTCCTTGCCGACGTAGGAATGCCCAGCTTGTATGTTGGGAACCACCACGGGGCGGAGACCGCAGTACTGCCCCACATAACCAGGGGTGCAGTTACACAGAAATGAACCAAATATGTTGACACAGGAACCACCATTTTCACATTCTTCTCTTTCGCACTCATTGATGTCTTCTTCACACCTTAAAAGAAGAAAAAGAGAGTTTGGAGAATGCCTAGCAAACATCCCAGATAATACATGATGACTTCTCTTGTGAAAGTGAGGAAAGGCTGAGAGAGCTGGGTCTATTTAGTCAGGAGGACACTGAGGGGGGAATCTCATCAACATATATCTAAAGGGTGGTTGTCAGGAGGATGGGCCCATTCTCTTTTAGGCAGCATCTAATGACAGGGGAAGGGGCAATGGGCACAAACGGAAGCACAGAAGGTGCAAGTTAAACATAAGGAAAGACTTTACTGTGAGAGTGACAGAGCACTGGAACAGGCTGCCCAGAGAGGTTGTGGAGTCTCCTTCATTGGAGACATTCAAAACTTGTCTGGACATGTTACTGTAGGTCCTCCTGCACTAGCAGGGGGGTTGGACTGGAAGATCTTCAGAGGTCCGTTCCAACCCTGACCAATCTGTCATTCTGTGAAGTGATACAATTAACACCTTGCTGGTGCTTTGCAAATGACATTATCATGCTATTCAATAGCATTTAAATTTTTCCACGACTATTCCAGGGCTTTTTAAGACAATAACATGAAAACATCAAGAAAGAAGTAAGAGTTTAAAGCATCTGATAGAAAGAGACTAAGACTCTAATGATGCTCATTGAATGTAACAGAGAATCTCAGTCTTTTTACATTGGTTTTAGACCATCCCAAGGGATTCAATGCAAAATATTAGGAGGATTCAAGAAGAAAATGGATGAGAAAAAATACAGTTAAAAAATCAGAGTATTATAAGAGAAGAGGAGGATATACTGAGTGACTAAAATTATTTTGGGCTGGAGATAAAACGAGTAATTATTAGAGAAGTAGGGGATAAAAAAAGAACAGGAACTTCAGTAAGATACTCAAAGAAGAAGAGATTATTTTAAAAAAGGCAAAGCAAAAAGTACAAAGGGTAGACAAACTAGATGAGAAAAAAAAGAATGTTGATGGGCAAGTCAGGGGATTTTCTGATTCTACACCTAATCTATGATCAAGCCTAGGATTTTAAGAAACGAAGGCAATAAATTAGTCTTTTATGTCAGGGCTAAGGTGACTAAATAATTCATCAATTTTCCAAAAAAAGATTATATAGTGGCTTCTACAGACTTAATGGGATTGCTCAAAAAGCCTCTAACACTCAGGTGCGCATATCTCAGTGAAAACTGTCTGGAGATAGCATCCTGAAATAATAATTCAGGAGGCCAAGTTCAGAAAAGCATTTCTGAACATATAAGTTTCATGCATTTCTCAGATATCATTAGCAGACTCAAAATAAGCACTAAGTTTTGGGTTATTTTTTGCTCAGTGAATCATAGCTTTTGGGTCAAAATGTCTGATCAAAAATCCCACTGTCGCTGAACTGAAAAGCTCCTGTTGCCCACCTGGAGAAGGTCACTTACGTTACTCCAGTCAGGCCATTTTTGCAGCTGCAGATGAAAGCATTGCCAATGGGATCGCATGATCCTCCATTCCGGCAGGGATTTGGGAAGCAGGCCGTGATTTCTGATTCACAATTCCTTCCTGTAAACTGGGAGAGGCAATTGCACTGGTACCCTGGAAGGTGAGAGACACAAGAGAAATAAATCAGAAGCCTACCACTGTATCTCTCTAGAAGCAAAGGCTTCTTTGGATACTTTTCTCCAAAAACATTTTGTACTGAGGGGGAAAGGGGATGCTTATACTCATTTTGGTATGTCTGTGTCATTCACACAAATGCCAGTCAAGAGTCTGTTTATTGGGGATGTCTGAACAATGGGAGCTCATGTCTACAACCAGGGACCGAAGGAAGCACTGCAGCCCAGACCATCCTGATCTTCATAATTCAGAGAAGAACAAATGCCATCTATGCCCAACTTTGGTCACAAGAAATACTGCAGATTAAGGATGGCCCAGTCAGTATCTTTGAAAACGCACACCATATTGCTGACAGCAGCAGCCCACACTCCACTTAGGACTTCACTGAAGAATAAATACATGAGCTGAGAGCTTTTTCACATCTGCCTTTTACAAGGACAACACAGTAGGGATGTGACAATAATGAAACACTCAATAGTGATAATTACTGCTTTCATAAAGCACATCATCCAGGCATGAACTATAAACTTCATAATACCAGCTGACCTGGGCAACGTCAGCTCTAATCAGAGCTGAACGTGTTCAGTGTGTGCTATTAAAAACTGATTTAATCACCGGCTGCAATACAGCAGACATAACTCCAGTCAACTGGAGGGGGACCCTGTAGGGGATCAAAGTCCTGCCTCCACAGTTCTTGCCAACAGAGGATCAACATCAGTGTGAAAAACATTTCTTGAACCCATCAGTTCACTCTGCCAAGTATTGAATGACAAACCTCTTTTCTTTCCCCTTCGTCTTGTTATTTCTTATGGCATAATGTCACTAATAAAACTTTATTTACAGTCACAAAGAAATGCAGTGTGTGTCTTCATGTAGTGAACTGGATATTGAAATGTGTTTTTTCACTTGGAAAGAGCAAGGAACATGTAGGTTGTGAAAGCCATGAGATGACTAAGGCAGTCCCTGAGATGGAAAGACTCCTAGAAGAGACTTGTTGAAGTAGTAAAATTTTCCTGGACATCTGTTAAAAACTTGGGCTGATTTTTTAAAGAACTACTTACACAAACCATATGTCCCAAACAAATGTGTAGGCAAGGTTCAAGCTCTAGTTAAGGGCTTCACATACTTACTGAATAGAGCATATTAAGTGGAACAAGGAACCTTCCTACCATTAATACTGCTGGAGCTAGTGCTGAAATGATTCAATGCAACTCAATCTCATGTCAAGAGATCAAGCTGATGCAGCTGAAATACCATTCCTTGGCAGTATGCTTTATAAACATATTTTAAAAAAAAAATTGGAATCTATACACCTGAAAAAGAAAATACTTATTTTAAAAGCCACTGTTCCAGGAAACAAGGTAGGAATTTCCAGCACAGTTACAAGGAAAATAATTTCACAGAAACAATATGGAATAGCCCAGTGGAGGCAAGAAGCAAAAGCAGTTTTGCATTAAGAATCCCACATCTTTTATGCCCTATACGGTTCAATTTGCCTTGTTCAGTTACTCTAATTGAATTCTTTCATGAGGACAGGCTTTAAAGAACAAATTTGGAATCCGACTTGCTGGTGTATTCAGTCAAGAGTCCAATCCTACTGAATCGAAGAAAAATGAAACAGATACTCAAATATCATGCTCTTTCATTGCCCTGCTACAAGAAGGGAGTTAGAAGCATTGAAGCATTGTTATTTTCAAGGTTGCAAGGTTTAGAAGAGAAATTATTCAACTTTGGAGATTCCTAGAAAGGATCATATTTGCTGGGTATTAGTGAGATAGGATAATTTTTTTGTGATTTATACAGATCTCGCTTGGACAGTCTGAACAACTTTCTGGAGCTGTAGAAACTTGGGACTGAAGAGATATGAAACTGTGACTGCACCAGGCATTGCATTTTGATGCCATCCCTATGAAAGATTTACTGTCACTTTGCAAAGTAACTGATCTAGAAATACTGTAGGTAGAAATAACAGAGTGAATAAATAAGGTTCTTTCAGTGCTTCATTTTATGACTGAATAGTGACATCTATAGTTCAAAAATTTGTACTGTTTTATATATTTTATGGTCTCAATGAGTTTAAATGAAATAAACATGTTCAATTCAAATATAGCACATTTTATTCATAAACAAATCTGTTGCCTTAAAAATAGCAGATAGATTGGCTAACTGATATTTTAACCCTACATAACTTTAAAATTACTTTAAAAACCTCCAGACTTTCTGTACTGAAGTTACTACTTGCCAACCATTTTTAATCATTTTTTAATCACCTTCTTTTCACATCTTCTGTTTGATTCACCTGATTAAGTTCTAGATTCTCAGTCTGTAACATATTCTGTTGCATTCATTCACTGCAGAAAAACCTAAGAAATATTCATTTGGTAAAAAACCCAAAAACGAACCCTTTACCACTAACTATAAAAGGAACATGGATTTATTAATTAATACTGCTGCTTATTGTTTATATTAAAGATGCACTAGCTTCAATTCACATTTGATAGTAAGAGGAGTTGAAACTGAATGCTCTGGATGGGTCAGAGCTCTGTTGGGCAACGTATGAACAAGACCAAAGTGAAAAGTGTGTTTCTGAAAGTCTACAGTTTTTACTGTATTTGATTTAATGATGGTGCAACACAGTCAGATACTAGAGATACAGATTCTAAGTCTGGGGATCAAAGTTAGAAATAAAAAATGCAGTAAAACAAGACAGTATTAAATTACAGTGTTTATCACTGATTTTTCATTTGCTATACATCTGCCAACTCTGAGCCATTGGCAAAGGCACAGCACTTCCCCATGACACAACATGCTCAGAGCTGCAGAGCATTCACCCGTGAGGTCTCCGACTCAGCAAAGCATATGTTGAAATTCATGAAGAATGGAAGTGAAGAGCTGATATGATGGCTCAGTACACAGCATCTATCGACCCAGCTAGAAGACCTGCCAGGCCTTTTATGCTTCTCCAAACCTCTCAGCAGAGGCTGTAATTTTGCCCAGTACTGTCCATTGAAGCCACAAGGCCATAGAAAAAATGCAATCCTAAAGTAAACTCTTTTGGTCAGGAGTGTATCCTGGGTCTAACAAGGAGTTTTTATTAGACTTTTAACTTAATATTCAGGTAACGTATAATGCATTTATTCCTATCCATTTTCCATTCAGCACAAGAACAATAAACAAACTTTCCATGTCTGAAGACAATATAGCTGGATAAAAGGCGAAATACCCTGTCCTCTCAGCAGGGGATGAGAAACCCTTTCAAGCAATCTAGGGCTTGCTCCTGTTCACAATGAAGGCACTGAAAGTCTTGGAAATTTATCAACATTTAAGATCATACAGCCCATCTGGGTTCCCTCCAAGAGATACGCATATTTAATTCTGCACACTGATGCTGGAAAATGTTAATCTGCATTCTCTGAGGCTGCAAATTTTGTGATATCGCCACTGTTTTTCTTCAGAGGGAACCAGGGAATAAAAGATAAAAAGCTCCGGTAAACACATCTGCAGTGCTGCTGGGGTTGGACCACAGCACCCTCAGCATGTGACACAATAGACTGTATCAACAGCTCACCTAAGAGCAACAGCAAACTGTAAGCAACAATACAGCTCTTTCAGGCTGTATCTACATTAGCAAGCCCTGCAGAGCAATGGCATTGGGTCTGTGGAGCAAAAGAGTTGGTGCTGAGCACCCAGCACCCTCAGTGCACATGTCAGGGCTCTAGGGTCATGTTAGCTTCTCTCCTGCTGCACATCGTCCAGCTCAGTGCCATCCAGAGGGAAGCCTGGTCCTGTTGTTCAAAACCTCACCTCTTTACATCAGGAAGCAAAGCACAGTGAGAGGGGATGGTCAGAAGATTCACATAAAAACTCATTTGTGGCCTAAACCAATGAGCAGACATAGCCCTGGCCTGCTTACATATACTCCTGGGCTTTCCAATTGTTTCATAAGGCTTCTCTCATCTGCCTCCACTAATCTGAGTCCCCTCTACATAGCTGAGTCTTACCTTCTCACTTTGATTCCAACAGCTTCTCTTCCTGCCTTATTGGCATACCCCTGTTCAGAGGAAAAGGGATTTTTCAGCCCAGTCCTTACCAAAGAGCACCATGCTGTAAGCAAGGACACTACACAGGCCTCCTGCCTGTACCTATGTTTGCTTGGCACTTAATGAGCAGCGAGAGGCCAAAGGTGGGCATGGTGCCTTCAGTAGATGGGATACTGCTACACAGTGAATGTCTCCGCTGGTAGCACTGCCAGCCTGAAGCATCTGAATGTGCCTATGTGAAGGACCAGGTATTTCCTTGCACGAACATGAAATGTCCTTTGAGTCAGCCGACAAAACTGACTTAAAACGGTGTCTCCACACGGCAGGAAACCCCCTCTGTGTGTGTGTGGGGGGGGCAGCTGCTGCAGGGGAGGAGCCGTGGCCGGAAGCAGGGGCAGGACTAGGTCCCGCCTGATTGGCTGAAAAGCCCGGAAATGCAAAAACTGGCGGCGAAGAACCCCATGAGAGAGGCAGCGCGGCACGCCCCTCTCTCTCTCTCGCTCTCTCCTCGTGTTCGAGGCGGTCGTCTACACACACAGCCTGCCGCC